CACCAACAACAGTGAAATGAATGAGCAATGGTTCTGTTTTTGGTGAATGAGGTCACCTGAGGTGGATAGATTTTTGTTAGGTAAGGGTATCAAGAAATATGGAGCAAAGACTGTTAATGAGTTGAGGACAGATCAGCCATCATCTAATTGAATGGCGGAATAGGCTAGATGGGCTGAAAGGCCTACTCCTGATCCTATTTTCCTAATGTGCATGCATGTTATCAGGAGTAGATTGTATTTATACACACGCCTAACTCACTGCTCCGGATAACTCATCATTGAGCCCTTTTCCCTTGGAGTGACGAGTTATTAGAAGTTTATTGCTCATTCAAACAATTACACTACCGGTATCAGTATTTATCGGCATTTTTATTTTATTATTGTAATATGTTAGTATCATTATATTATTGTAATATAACATTATTATTGTGGAGTCCTATAGCTCAGTGGTTACAGTACTCACCACATAAGCAAGAGACCTGGCTTCAAATGCCGGCAGGGCGAAACCATGCCAAGTTTCCTTACACCACAAGCCTTGTTTGCCTAGCAGTAAGTAGGAACCCAGTTGTTAGTCAATTGGCAGATTGCTTTTCCAGGGTAATAATTCCTTCAAAAATCATAATAATATTAATAAATTGGTCATTCAATCCACGACTATTTGTGGGACACCTCTGTGTGCAATTGAATACCACATTTCACCCACAACATATAGCCAATTCACTTTACAGTATATTCAGTGAAGCCTTTTAGGATGTTTCAAAGATCTGATAAAGTACCATATCAAATGCAAGGATTATTATTATTATATGATTATTTTTATATTATTATTTTTTTCACCCACAAAACACACTTGTCACTCCACTTAACATTGAATCCTGTGAAGCACTTTTAGACGTCTCAATGACGTGATAAGGTGCTGTGTCAAACACAAGGATTGCTCTCCGTAGAAACAATCCCTTAAAAATAATAATAATTTTGTTACTCAGTCCATGATTGTTTGTGGAATACAGCTGTGTCGGGAATACACCCGACCTTCCCCTAAAACTCTCCGAACCCGTACACAACCAAGGTGTCAGGTTCGACCCCCAATTATCCTTCCTCCCCCACATCCGGTCCCTCATCAGCACCACCTTCTTCCACCTCCGACGCATTGCCCACCTCCGCCAATACCTCTCTCCGAAAGCCGCTGAAACCCTAGTCCTTGCCTTTGTCACCTCTTGGCTGGACTATTCTAATGCCCTCGCCGGTCTCCCATCTACCATCCATAAAATCCAGATAATTCAAAACTCTGCCGCCCGCATTGTCACCCGCACCAAACTCCGCTTCCCGAACACCCCAGTCCTCGCCAGACTGCACTGGCTGCCAGTCACAGAGAGGATCGACTTCAAGATCCTGACTTCGTATTCAAATCCATGCACTCCTCTGCACCCCCTTCCTCTCTGACCTCCTCTCTCCTCAAAACAGCATCCGTTGCCTTCATTTCTCCGGGTCTGGCCTCTTCCTTGTCCCCCGAGTCCTTCGCTCCACCCTCAGCGGCTGTGCCTTCATTCACTATGCCCCAAGGCTCTGGAATTCCCTTCCTCATTCCCTTCGCCTCACTCCCTATTTTCCTATTTTCAGATCTCTGCTGAAAACCTTTCTCTTCGACCGCACCTTTGGTCACCTTCCTCCCCACCCCCCTGGCTTGGCACTGGGATCTGTTACTGTAAAGCTCTCTGAGATGCCACCTGGCATGGAGGGCACTATATAAATCCAAGTTGTTGTTGTTGTTGTGTGCAATTGGCTGCCGTGTTTGGCCCACAAAGTAGACAGTCATTCCACTTTACAGTATAACCTGTGAAGTGCTTTAAGACGTCTCAACGATGTGATATATCAAATGCAAGAATTATTATTCTTATCTCCCATTCCTTTTACAATCCATAAGTATTTAAACCACTGGTTAGGTGTTAGATACCCCTTAATTCTTCTTAATTAAAGTCATTAAAAGCCTACCTTGAGACTTGGAACTCATTTTGTCTAGATGACACTCCAGCTCAGTGCTGGGATGTGCTGCAGTGTCCTTCAGATGAGATGTTGAACTGAGGTCCTGTCTGTGTGTTTGGGGTGAACATTAAAGAATCCCATTGCACTATTTGAAAATGGAAAGAAGTTTATCCTGGTGTCCTGGCCAACAATCTCCCAGATAAAATGTATCATTCACACAAGGCTGTGTGTGGGTGTGTGGGATATTGCTGTACACTTATTGTCTGCCGTGTTTGCACCCAAAACACACAGTTACTCTCCACTTCACAGTATATCCTATGAAATGTTTTGAGATGTCCTCCCGATGTGAAAGGCCCTTTATCAAATGTAAAGGTGCAATACAAAATTACGAGCAGGGCGTTAGGATCAGGGAAGGTGGAGGGCAAGGAGGGTAGGAGGGTGACTGAAGGTGCAGTCAAAGAGGAGGATCTTGAGACCGTGCCTTGAGGGAGGCAAGAGAGGGAGCAAGGTGAAGAGAATGTGAGATTGAGTTCTAAAGAGTGGGGGCAAAGAGGCTGAATGCCCGACCACTAATGATAGGGAGTTTGGGATGATCTGCAGCTTGTGGAAGGAAGAGTTGGGAAGGCTGACAAGCAGGGAATTGGCATAGTCAAGCCTTGATGTGATAAATGCATGGATGAAGGCTTTGGTGGCCTGAAAGGTGACGCAGAGGTGGAACCGGGCGATGTTGCAGAAGTGGGAGAAGGCACAGTGGGTCATGACATGAATGTGGGGTAGAAAGGACAATTGAGGGTCAACCAAGACTCCAAAGTTCTGGTCTGGCTCAGTGAGGTGGAGTGTGCATCCATGGATGGTGATGCTGCCAGTGCCTGAGGTGTGGAGGTTCTAATGGGAGCCAATCAGGAGAGCCTTGGTCTTGTTGAAATTGAACTGTAGAAAGTTAGCTCTCATCCAAGACTTCTTTCACATCAGCAATGGTCCTGGAGTCGAGGATGGAGGCAGAAAGATAGAGTTGGGTATCATCCGCATACATGTGGAAGTTGACTCAATGTCTGCGAATGATGTCACTAAGAGCATATACATGTTGAAGAGGACAGAACCAAGACAGAGCCCTGAGGAACGCCGCACAAGACGTTGTGGGGGCTGGAGAAGAAACCGTTTGTAGAGACAAAGTGGAGACGGTGTGAGAGGTAGAATCTAAGCCACTCAAGGATATTGAGGTGAGAGGAGAGGTGGTGGAGGAGGATAGAGTGGTCTACAGTATCAAACAGCAGAAAGGTCAAGGAGGATGAGGAGACAAAAGGAGCCCTGATCACAGATGAACAAAATGCCATTTGTCACTTTGACCAAGGCTGCTTCTGTGTTGTGGACAGCACAGAATCCAGATTGGCGCGGTTCGTAGAATGAGTGATGGGAAAGGAAGGAGTGAAGATGGGAAGCAATGACTTGTTCCAGTACCTTGGAAAGAAAAGGGAGGTTGGGGATGGAGTGGTAATTTGAGAGCAGTGATGGATCCAGCGAAGGTTTTTTGATGAGGGGAGGGCTAAGAAAAGCGTACTAAGGATGATTATTATGTTATTACAGTTTAAATGACTCTGTTGAGGTCGTTTCTAAATGATTGTCAGTGATGGGTCAGCCAGACCAATAACACCCACGTTACATATGAATGGAAACTCCTTTTCTTAGTATGGTTGAAATAGCTACTTTTTGCAGAAGAATGATATTGTGTTCACCAATTCTTTTGACAAGCCAATTCTGTATATTGTCATATTAATATTAATAGTTGCACTGATGAGTATAGAAACTACGTCCACATACATCCACATTCAATTTGTAGATTGATATATTTCCTGATCTTTTCTAGTTCCTTATTTCTTACCTTGTAATCACTTGGGATATCCATATCAATAATGCTAAATGTACAATCTAGTTGGTTCTTTATGATAATATCAAGTTTGTTACAGATTACTGTTATATCTCTATGTATTTGTGATCCCAGATTATTGTGGTGTTATTTTTTGAAGTCACTTTTGCTGGTTGATGTTCATACCAGTTTATCTTTCCATTAATATTAATGTGTTTACAATTCTTCAGTGAATATATTGATACATTGTTATATGGGATTGAGCTAGGGCTATGATGACAATATGTTGTTTACTGTTTCTGGTGCTTGATCACATATTCCGCATTTTGGGTCAATGTTTCTCTTTAAGATCTTATTAACAGGTAATAATAGCTTGGTCTTGTGCTGATATTATAAGATTTCTGTTTCGGATTTCAGATCCCTATTAGTCAATCAGTTGTAGCTTTTGTTGACCACTGTCTACACTTTGTCTCCACTAATGGCTTCCCCTCCAGCCCCGACAATGTCTCGTGCGGTGTTCCTCAGGGCTCTGCCCTTCGTCCTCTCTTCAACATTTACATGCTCCCTCTTGGTGACATCATCCTCAGACATGGGGATCATCTTTCAAATGAATGTGGATGACACCCAATTCTACCTCTCCACCTCCACCCTTGACTCCAGGGCCACTGCTGTCCTGACAGAATGTCTGTCTGGCATCAAGTCCTGGATGAGAGCTAACCTTCTCCAGTTAAACATCAACATGGGGCAACATGAGGAGGAGGAGGAGGAGGAGGAGGAGGAGGCAGTCAGGCGGATATTATCTATCTTAAAGATAAAGTATTTCAATTGCATTAATAGCAAATATTTATTTCTGTCATTAACTCTGTTTTATGTACTAAGATTACTCATATATTCAGAAGCAATTTTCAATGTCATGCCTCGATGATCTATTCCGTCTTTTCCTGTACTACATTTTGAATGTGTTCTCTTATTGTTATATTTTGACCAAGCTGAATGTTTTCAGGTTCCCACCGATAAAGGTTGCTTTGGCACAATTATCTAATCAAACTCCATTTTTATATCATCACTGAACTATTTTCAGTTCTTTTAATTCTTTTTCGTTTTTACTGTATAGTATAGAGCAGATGGTCAGCTCTCTGTGTTTGTGTGGTGTTTTTCAATTGATAGCCATATTCACTGTCTTTTAGTTCCGAGCTGATAGTTTCTCTGTTGGTTGGGCTGTGATAAGGGCTGCTGCATTTCCTTTTCCTCTTCTTTTATTCATTCCTGCCCTTCATAGACTTTGTTTATCTGCAGTGAAAGTGAGCACATCCTCTGCCTGACAATCCATTAAATGAGAAGAGTGGTTGAGCTAGTGAGACACTATTTAAAGATCTGACTGCCTGTTAAATAAGAAAAACAAGAGATGTACTGTGATAGTGTCCACCACTTCCCTTTCACTCAACCATTTGTTAAATAAGGGGTATGAAACAAGATGAGATAATCATTATTCTGTATTTTGAACCAAAGCAGCTTCCACACCTGTATTTTTCGCATTCAAAATATCACTTTGTTATTGGCCTCATGTTCCTACAATATTGTGTATCAGTCTGGCTCTGTTGCAAGCACTCTGAGTCAGAAGGTTGTGGGTTCAAGCCCCACGTTGGGCCTTGGAATCACCATTATCCAAGCTGACACTCCAGCGCTGTCCTTTGGATGAGACATTAAACCAAGGCTACATCTCCCTGTTCAGGTGGATGTAAAAGATCCCATTGCACTATTCAAAAAGAAAAGGATGTTTCTCTCGGTGTCCTTGTTTTTTAACATTTCCGCTGAATGACAGCTGCCCGACACTGCATTGGAGTGTCAGTTTAGACTGTGAGTTCAAAGTTCTGATGTCGTGCTTGAACCCACAACCTTCTGACTCAGATGCGACCAACTGAGCCAGGCTGACAAGCTTAGTGAAGAGCATAGAGACGTTCATCCTGCATAAAAATTACAAGCAAATGTGGACAAAATTCTTGCTCTCGTTCTCTAGTTCGTGCACTTGTCTGCTCACTTTTTCTTCTGGTTAATTAGTTAGGTGTCTGGCAATAACAGCACAGCCGTGTGTGAATTATATCTCACATAATTACTTTTGTTACCCCAATGTAATAAGAACACTGTGATCAATATGAAGCCCTGAACTAATTGCAGGTCTCTGTCTCATCAAGCAGAATAATTTTCTACCTAATTACATGGAGAACTTTCGTGGTCAACATAATGCATTACATTGTTTTCGAGCTGGGCGTTTTCAGGTGCTTTATTTTGCTATTTGAGTGGGAAACTATGGCACTGCAGGTTAGTTTCTAATTATTTTCTGATGCATCATCAGTAAACTGAATGAGGGTCACAGAAAGGGCATGTGGCATGACCACTTTATCTTACACTCTATTATCTCCACATCTCAGTGTTCATTTAGCAAAATTGAAAGCAATGATCTAGTCAGCCTCTCAATTATCAATTATGTCTTCCTTTCAAACACTATGTTTTGCAGGTGAGGAGGATATGAAATTGCTTACTTACAGATGCACCAAGGCAGTAGAGCAAGAGAACACAGGTTTAGAGCTCTAAAGGGCAATTTCAGGACAGACACCAGGAAGTTTTTCTTTATCTCAGAGGATAATGAATGACAGAAACCAAGGGGGCATCACCTTAAAATTAGAGCTGGTCCATTTAGGACCAGCACTTAATGTTTTTGTTAGGTAAGGGTATCAAGGGATATGGAGCAAAAGCGGGTAAGTGAAGTTGAAGTACAAACCAGTCATGATCTAATAGAAGGGTGGAACAGGCTTGATGGGCTGCATGGCCTTCTCTTGTTCCTGTGAACTGGTTGTCAGAAAGCACGGTTGAGGCCAAGACACTGGACTCATTTGAAAAGGTCCTTAATGCCATAATGGGGGTAATAGATGGGTGTTCTGCAAGGTTGAGATCAGTTGTGCAGATCTGATTTAAAAACAGATTTATGAATATAGCCCAGCATCTGGTTTACTTTGTTTATTGCTGCCTCACGCCCTTTTGATGAGTCAACATATACACCTAGATTTCTTTCAGCTTCCTCCTCAGCAAGAGCACTCACTCTACGGTATTTCCCAACACACAGAAAATGTTGACTTACATAATTTGTTATCTGCCATATGAATCATTAGATTGTTAATTTGTGGAGTCCTATGGTGGTTAGCACACTCACCAAGAGCGCACAGGTTCGACTCCCGGGTGGATGAAACCTTAGGTAAGTTTCTTTACTCTACACACAACAACAACAAAATTACATTTGTATTATGCCTTTCACGTTGGAAGGTTGTCCCAGGGTGCTGGACAGTCAATGTTTTAGACACCTCTGATTACCTAGCAGGAAGTAGGAACTTGGTTATTAATCGATTGCTGGGTTGTTTTCTGCGGGCAATAAACCCTCCCCCCGAAAATGCATGGTCACTCAATGCATGACTGTTTGTGGGACACTGCTGTGCACAATTGGCTGCCGTGTTTTGTCCACACACTACACAGTCAATATATCCTGTGAAGCACTTTGGGACATCTCAACAACTTGATAATCAAATGCAAAGATTATTATTATTATTTCAAACAATTTTGTAAGCCCTCCTGTCGATATGCATACACTAACCTTCACATATGTCAACACTGTTCAAGTGTTCTCTCTCATCTATCCTCCCAAGTCTCTGCAATGTAATGTAAGTATATGGGAATTAATTAAGTGCCAGGTCTTGAACTATGCTTAACATTGCAAATAACCAAACAAGCTTTTGGTGGAACTCAACCTTCTGACCTGTTCACTTCACCGCCTGCCTCGAGTGGCCGTGCTCATATCAGCAGTAATGCTGATGGTTCACCAAGGTATTGCTGTTGTCTTCAGAGGTACTCACTGCACCCTGTGAGGGGCTCATTGGCCCTTTGTGGGGTTCACTGTAAGGTGGTCACTGCCCCTTGTGAAGGGATCACGGTGATATTAAAGACCCAATGGCACTATTCGAAAAGAGAAAGGAGTTTCTCTCCCATGTCCTGGCCAACAATACCCCAAAATAAAGTTGGTCACTCACTCCATGGCTGTTTGTGGGATGCTGCCTTGCACAAATTAGCTGCCACACTTATCCACAAATACACAGTCACTCCACTTAACAGTAAAGTTCTGTGAAGTGCTTTGAGATGTCCTCCTAACATGAATGGCACTCTATTTGTGAAGTGCTGTAGTATATTAATTACTGCATTTGCCTGACAAGTGAGAGGACCCGAGTTTAATTCCTGGAAACCTTAGGCAAGCTTCCCTTACTCCTTACTCTGCTCCCACTTACAAGCCAAAACTGTAATCTACTCACTGGTTATTCTGGATGCTAAAGACAACTCAAAATCTTATTCTACACCACCCACCACCTCCTCCACATGCCTCATCAAGCACCCTCAATCCCAATATCTAATGTAAAGTGCGAAGAGATCCTGGACTTCTTTATCTCCAAGATAGATAACATCCAACTGGTCACCACCTCCTCCTGCCCCATGTCACCACCCCTCCTCCATTCCTTGTCCACCAACTATGCATCCTCCCACAGCTCATACCACAGGCCCCAACCCACACTCCTTTGTCCCCATCTCTCCTTCCTTCCTCTCATCCTCCATCACCCAAATGAAAACCACCACCTGCTGTCTTGATCCACTCTCTACCCAGCTGCTGGTCGCTCAACTCCCCCTCCTTTGTCTCTGCTGGCAGACACCATAAATCAGTCCCTCTCCTCAGGCTCGGTCCCACTCCCCCTAAAAACAGCTGGCATTACTCCCCTCCTTAAAAAACTAGTCTCGATCCCTTCAACTTCGAGCACTACTGTCCCTTATCAAACTTGCCCTTCCTGGCCAAAGCTCTGGAATGCATTGTTGCAAACCAACTTCGCTTACACCTCACCTTCCACTCCCGAGTCGAACTCCTCCAGTCCAGTTTCCACCCAGCCCCCAGCACAGAGACAGTGCTCATCAAAGTAACAAATGATGTACTCTTTCTCTGTGATCAGGGATCCCTCTGCCCCCTTGACCTCCTGGACCTCTTGCTGGGTTCAACACAGTTAATCACGCCATCTTCCTCCACTGGCTCTCCTCCCTCATCCATCTTAGTGGGACCGCACTCGCATGGTTTGACTCTTACTTAACCAACTCCCAGCACCTGAAACTCAGCCAATGGTTTTACCTCTCGTCCCAATCCGATCACCTGCAGGGGACCCCAATGCTCCATCCTTGGACCCCTTCTCGGTGATGTCAACCACAGACTTGGGGTAAACTTCCACTGTATGTGGGTGGCATACAAATCTACTTCTCTTCGTCCATCTGTAATTTCCCAGTCCATTGATGTTCTATTAGCTTATCTGACAGGCATCAGGGCCAGGATGAGCCAAACTTCCTGCAGCTGAATGTTGACAAGACACAAGCCATACTCTTTGGCTCCCATCCCTTGAGCAGAGAGCATAGCAGCGTGAGGAGGAAACTGAGTGAGGTGGAAAAGAGTGAGAATTCCATGAAGGAATTTGATGAGAGTGATAATTTGGTGCAGAGGGGCAAGAGGTGCGTAATTATAAAATTTATAAGTTATATTAAAAAATATAAAACATGTCTGGGAATATGGCAGGGCAGCTAAGACTGGTTGCATGCATAATATATGCCATGTGGGAACTCCAGGATGCTTTGTGTACCCTGGACAGACACATGTGTAGGAAGTGCTTCCGGCTGCTCAAGCTGGAGCTCAGGGTTTCTGAGCTCGAGGAGAGGCTGGTGTCACAACATAGCATACAGGAGGCTGAAGAGTTCATGGATCGAACGTTTCAGGAGATGGTCACCCCACAGCTACAGAGGATTCAGAAGGAGATTGAGCAAGTGACCACCTGGCATGGTAGGAAGAGGGGAAGGGCAGTGCAGAAATCTGATGAGTGTGGCATTCATAAACCAGTTCTCTGCACTAAATATTGGTCAGGGTGTTGACACCTCTGGAGGAGGGAATCAAAAGCAAATGGGTGCACAGGGGAACAAAGGGAAGCTTGTTAATTCAGGGTTGAAGACATCACAGAATGGCTGCAAGCCAATCTAAGAGGAAGGGGAACATAAGAGGAAGGGGAACATCCAGAATTTGTGTTCTATGTTGGGATCCATGACCCATGGAAAAAAAGAGCTGAGATCCGGCAGGGAGAGTGTCAGAAGCTAGGGAAAAGGCTAAAAAGTAGGACCTCAAAGGTGGTAATCTCTGGATTACTCCCAGTGCCTCGTGCAAGTGAGTATCAAAACAGCAGGATCAAACACATGAATGCATGGCTGAAGAAATGGTGCAGAAAGGAGGGCTTAGGTTCCTGGATGATTGGGACCAGTTCAGGGGCAGGTGGGACCTGCACATGGTGGTTGGGTTATACCTGAACAGGGTTGGGACCAATGTCCTCGCCGGGAAGTTAACTAGTGCTGTGGGAAAGGGTTTAAACTAATTTTGAAGGGGAAAGGGAATCAGGATGTAGAATTAGAGAAGACAAAGAAGTTTCATAGAGGGCTGGGAGAGATGAATAGCAATGTAATAAGGAATAGTCCAGAAAAAGGAAGGATTAGACGGGGGAGAAATGCAGAGCAGACTCAGTCAATCTTGGAGTGCATGTATGTAAATGCACAGAGTGTGACAAATAAGATTGGTGAGCTGCAGGCTCAAGTTGCCGCGTGGGGTTGTGATGTAGTGCCAATAACGGAGACATGGCTCAAACAAGGGTAGGAATGGGAGCTGAATATTCCTAGTTACAATGTATTCAGGAGGGATAGGGAAGGAGAAAAAGGAGGGAGTGTGGCAACATTGATTAAAGACACAGTTACGGCCCTGAAATGGATGATGTGCTAGAAGGTCCAAAAGCAGAATCTATTTGGTTAGAATTAAGGAGCAGAAAAGTAGCTGTTATTCTGTTAGGTGTATACTATCAACCACCAAATAGTGGGAAGGAGATAGACGAGGAAATCTGCAAGCAGATTTCAGAAAGATGCAAAACCAATAGAGTAGTGATAATGGGGGACTTCAATTATCCTAACATAGACTGGCAAAATAACACTGTAAAGGGCAAGGAGGGGAATGATTCCTGAAATGTGTGCAGGATAACTTTCTGGATCAGTGTGTTTCCAGCTCAACAAGGAAGGAAGGAAGGAAGGAGTGCTGGATCTAGTTCTATGGAATGAAATGGGGCAGGTTTCAGTAGGAAAGCATCTGGACAATAGTGACCACAACGTCATTAGGCTTAGAGTATTTATGGAAAGGGACAAGGAGCAATAAAACAACAACACATTTGTATTGTGCCTTTCGCATTGGGAGGACATCCCAAGGCGCTGGACAGACAGATGATGTCTGGGGGCCTGGTTCAGGGAGGGTGGAGGGCAGTGGAGGAAGCAGGGGGATTGAAAGCACGGTCGGAGTGGAGCGTCTTGAGATGCATCCTGAAGGAGGCAAGGGAGGGGCCAAGGCAGAAGTACTGCAGGATGGAGTTCCAGAGAATGGGGGGAGAGTGGCAGGAGGCCCGACTGCTAATAGTGGGGCGAACGAGGCGGGGACATGAAGCAGGTCAGAGTCTGCTGAGCAGAGGGATCAAGCAGGATGGTTGGGGGTTAGGAGGTCACAGAGCTAGGGGGGGAACAAGACCACAGAGGACCTTTGAAGGTGAGGACCAGGATGTTGAACTGTAGCCTCTGTGAGATGGGAAGCCAGTGGAGTCGGGCGAGGATTGGAGTGATAGGGTCACGGAGCCTGGTGCGAATCAAAGGTGAAGATATTCAACTGAAGAGGGCTAATTTCAGTGAATTAAAAAGGGATCTAGCCGAGTTGGACTGGAAAGAAAGATTGCTAGGCAAAACAGCTGACGAGCAATGGGAAGCTTTCAAGAAGGAGATAGTTCAGGGACAGAACAAATACATTCCCACAAAGGGGAAAGATAGGACATCCAATCCTCCCTGGATGATTAAAGAAATTGAGATTAAAATAAAACAGAAAAAGGTTTATGGTAAATGTCAGATCCAAAATACAGAAGATAATCAAATAGAATATAGAAAGTACAGAGGAGAACTGAAAAAGGAAATAAGAGGGGCAAAGAGATTGTATGAGAAAAAGGAACCCTAAGGCATTTTATAAGCATATAAAGAATAAAAGGTTAAGCAATGGTGGAGTGGGTCCAATTAGGGACAAAAGAGGAAATCTTCTTGTGGAGGAAGAGGGCATGGCTGACATACTGAATGGGTACTTTGCATCTACCTTCACAAAAGAAGATGATGCAGCCAATGCCACAGTATCGGAGGAGAGGGTAGAGAAATTGTATGAGATAAGAATAAAACGAGAGGAGTTACTAAAATGGTTGATGGTGCTGAAGGCAGATAAGTCACCTGGTCCAGACTGGATGCATGCTAGGTTACTGAGGAAAGTAAAGGTGGAAATAATGGAGGCTCTGGCCACCATCTTTCAATCCTTCTTGAACACTGGATTGGTGCCAGAGGACTGGAGGGTTGCAAATGTTACTCCCCTGTACAAAAAAGGACTTGCCTACGATCACCTTTCCCACCCACCCGGCTCGGCATTGGGTTCCGCCAATGTTAAGTGCTCTGAGACCTGCCCGGCGTGAAGGGCGCTATATAAATGCAAATTGTTGTTGTTGTTCCTATCACCCCATTTTGCCAGACTGGTTCCCCATCATTCACAGGATACAGTTCAAGAATCTGATCCTAACCTTCAAAGCTCTCCATGGCCTTCCTCCCCCCTACCGTGGCTTTCCTAACCCCCTACCAACCTGTCCGCTTCCTCCACTCAGCGGGCTCCAGCGTGCTTCACTCTCCTCCTCACCTGCCCCACCATTGGCAAGCGGGCCTTCAGCCACTCTGCCCCCACCCTCTGGATCTCCATCCTGCAGTCCCTCCATCTTGCCCCCTCTCTTGCCTCCTTCAAGACCTACCTCAAGACCCTCTCAACTGTGCCATCGGTCATCCTCCTTTCCCCCCTGCTGTCCACCCTCCCCGATCCCGACCCCCAGCTTGGGTCCAAAACATTGATTGTCGAGCACTTTGGGACATCCTCTTGATGTGAATGGGTCTATACAAATGTAATTCTGTTGTTACTGTTACTCCACACACCTCTTAATCCCCTTACTCCATATACGTAGCAGTAAGTATGGTGTTAGTCGATTGGCAGATCGCTTTCTGGGTGTGAGAATTTCTCCCAGAAATAATTCGGTCATACAAATCCATGACTTTCTTGTGGGACACTGCTGTGTGCAATTGGCTGACCTGTTTCACCCACAACTTCACCCACAACATACAGTCAATCCACTTTACAATTTATTCTGTGAAGCACTTTGAGACATCTCAACAATGTGATAAGGCGCAATATCAAATGCAAAGATTATTATTATTGAAGTGGGAGTTCCAAACACAATGTGACTGCTTCACCAGCGCACTTACATGAGCCACATACAGGCAGAAGCTGAGCCTTGTACCCTTAGATGTGTCCCTGCAGATTCTGTCAATATCCTTGACATTGTGCTGCTAATCTGTTTGTTCTGCCACAGCTGTCCAGCTCCCTGCCATTACAGCAGCCTTCCTGTGGCAGCCTTTACTTATCTTGTGTTGACACATTGTGATTGTTGCTGTTGAGCAATGTTCCAGCTGCTGAGGCAAAAGCTGACACAAAACACAAACATTTAAACCTTGAATGAACTGACAACCTGGAAAGAAAGAAAGTGCTCACTGTGTTAGAGCACAGGTAAATTCAAAATTTACAAAGCACACATCACAGAAAATTGGAATTTCAACACCTTGCTCCTCCCTTCCTCTGTGACCTGCTAATTGCATACCGACCTGTCTGCTCCCTCCGCTCAGCAGACTCTGGCCTGCCGTTGCCTGCCTACCCCACCACTGGGAGTCAGGACTTCAGCCTCTCTGAACTCTATCTTTGGCATTCAATCCCACAGTTCCTTTGCCTATCACCCTCCCTGGCTTCCTTCAAGCCCTGCCTCAAGTCCCTCCTCTTCCTCCTTTGGTTGCGCCCCTACCCTTACTCTTTCTGTCTACCTCTCCTGATCCCAACCCTCAGCAAATGTAATTTGTTGTTGTCACTGTGTGTTGTGACAGTTTTTTGGAGGTGAACCTGGCAGCCAATATGCACACAGCAATGTCCCACAAACAGTCATGTAGTATGAATATATGATTTTATATGGAGGGATTGTTGGCTAGGACATTGGGAGAGAAACTCCCTTCTCTTCTTATTACCCCCGGAAAGCGATTTTCGAACCTCATTTGCGAGGCAAGCATGCTAACCACTTTGCTACGGGACTCCACATAGGCTTTATGATTTACTCCCACTGGTTATGGTTGCACTTGAGAAATAATGGAAGCTTGCTGTCACAGAGATGCAATTTGTTTGATGACTGTAGGGTCTCGACACAGACTTCCATTGTGATGCACTCCCCACCAAACCAGAGCATCAATTATTTAGATACCAGTCAGGGTTTCATTAAAAGTTAAAGTTGCGGGAGAAGGCCTCAGAGAAGTGACTGGAGAAAATCCAGCATGCAATCTTCAAAGAATGAAACAGATCTAATATTCAGTGTTTCTTCATGATATTCCTCACTAAAGAATCCAGTTAGAATTCCCATTGATCTGTAGTTGGAAATCCACTCCAAAACAAATTGTCTCTGAGAGAATTTCCCACTGTTTGGCGAGACACATCCAGCGACTGGAAGAACGTGGAGACCTCTAGAAGGGTGGTTAGCGCACTTGCCTCACAAGCGAGAGGATCCGGGTTTGATTTCCGGGTAGGTCGAAACTTTTGGCAAGTTCCCTTACTCCACACACCTCTGTTTATCCAGCAGTAAGTAGGAACCAGGTTGTCAGACGGGGAGCGGCGCCAGGACAGCGCGAGGAGGAGCCTGGGCCTACCTACCCAGGTATTTAAACTTGACGCGGCAGGGAGTGCAGCACACGGCTGTGAGGCTGAGGAGGGAATGGGTGGGGGCGGAGCGGGGGAACCGCTGACGTCATAGTTGTAGTTTTCAGAAGTGTGCGCGCGCAAAAAACCCCCCCCCCCAAAAAAAAACCTCTGCGCCCCCCCACCCCCTCCCCCCAGGGCTCACATCAGAGCCCACCATGGTCCTGTTGGATTGGCTGCCCCAGCCCCATCCTATGGGATAATGTTTCCATCCACCTGACCACTCGCTCCCGGTCCCCGCGTGCGCACTATTGCTGCCGCTATGATCCGAGCCCCCTCACTCCCTTCCTCCCTCCTCCCTCCTCTCTACCCCCAAACTCTCCCCCCTCTGCATCTCTCCCGCTCTGTCCTCCTCTCTCTCCGTCCCTCTCGTCTTCTATCCCCACTTGATCCTCCCACGACTTCCTTCTGTTCCAGCCTGGGAATCCTCCGCCGGGTTCACCATGGCACTCGGCGTTGGCTGTCCAGCAGCAGCCACACCGACTGCCCCATTCCCCACCACACTCGCCAGCCATCCCGGACACAGACCCGGGGAGCCAACCTCTCCTCCCTTATCCCCATTTCCCCCACCCCCGCCTCACAACCTGGACCCCCTTCCCCTCCCACACACCCTTCTGTCAACCGCTCCATCCACATCGGACTACAAAACGTCCACTCCCTCTGTAACAAGGCCCTGGTCATCAACGATCTCATCCTTGATGAGAACGTTGATATCATGGGCTTAACGGAAACCTGGCTCACCCCAGGCGACACCTTCCCCCTCACGGAGGCCACATCACCCGGCTACACCTTCCACCGCATCCCTCACCCCAACCACCGTGGCGGTGGTGTTGCCCTGATCTCAAAGACACCACTTGCCCTATACCCCTACTCCTCTGGCTCTTTCCCCTCCTTTGAGCACCTCACCCTCCCCCACCCCTCCTTCCTCTCACTTAAAATCCTCCTCCTCTACCGGCCCCCTAAAACCTCTCCCACCTTTATCTCTGATATTTCGACACTTCTTACATCTCTGCCTCTGCTCTGATCACCTCATCATCCTGGGCGACTTTAACCTGCACTTCACCCCCTCCTGCTCAATCTCCTCAGATTTCTCTTCCCTGCTCTCATCGCTCAACCTCTCTCTCCACATCAACTCCCCCACTCACAGTCACGGCCACCCACTCGACTTGGTCATCACCTTCAGCCTCTCAGCCCCGAGGCTCTGGAACTCTATCCCCCAGAGCCTTCGCCTTGCCTCCTCCCTTTCCTCCTTCAAGGCCAGTCTCAAGACCTTTCTCTTTGACTGTGCCTTCAGCTCCCCTCTCGACTCTCTACCCCCTCCTCGCTCCCTCCCTTCCCTCCCCTCACCCTGACCATTTCCCCCCTGCTCGGGTCCTGACCCAACTGTCCAGCGCCTTGGGACGTCCTCCCGACATGAAAGGCGCTCTATAAATGGAATCTTGTTGTTGTTGTTGTTGTTAGTCAATTGGTGGAATGCTTTCTGTGGGTAATAATTCCCCCACCCGAAAAAAAAATGGTCACTCAATCCACGACTGTTTGTCGGGTACTGCTGTGTGTAACTGACTGGCATTTGCCCACAAATTATAGTTAATCCACTGAGAATATGGTCGATATTCTGTGAAGCACTTTGAGACATCACAATGGTGTCATAAGCACCATATCAAACGCAAGGATTATTAAGACAATGATGATGATTTTAATTATTAATATTATTATTATGGATTCCTCATTTGGGCAACCTGGAATCCACACTCAGCAAATTTGACAGCAATGTGTCTTTCGGTATTGTGGTGGCTCATTTGATAACAATTTTATGAGCATAAACAATGGATTGAACAAGACTGAGATGCTTCCATGGACGTTGCTTGTAAGAACCCTCACAGCTGCTCTTCCTTCTTCTTATGCCAAAGCTTCCAAACCAGTCTGGTTCCATATTTTTTTGTCTGCCGGGTGTCTGACACATGTCATAATGCTTAACCCTGGCTTGCAAGGACTAGGAACTGAATTAGTCTAAACTGACATAACAATTTGGAGTGGTATGGGGGGGCAGGGGGGTGTGGGGGGCACTGCATTGTTGGAGGTGCTACCATTTGGGTGAGACGTTTGTTCAGGTAGATATTAAAGAATCCCACAGCACAATTCAAAAAGAGAAGCGAGTTTCTCTCTCATAGAATCAGAGAATATTACAGCATAGAAGGAGGCCATTTGGCCCATCGTGTCCATGCCGGCTTTTTGAAAGGAGCTATCCAATTCAATCCCACTCCCCCGCGCTCTCCCCAGAGCCTTGCAAACCTGCCCTCCCCAAAAATTATCTACTTCTCTACAAAGCTGTCATTGAATCAGCGTCCACAACCTTTTCAGGCAATGCATTCCAGATCCGAACAACACGCTGTGGGAAAAAAATTCTCCTCACCTCTCCTCTGTTTCTTTTAATAACTATTTTAAATTGGTGCCCTCAGGTTACCGACCCACCTGCCAGTGGAAATAGTTTTTCCTTGTTCACCCCTCATAATTTTGAAAACTTCTATTTTAACCTTCTCTGCTCTAAGGACAATAATCCTAGCTTCTCTAGCCTCTCCTGATAACTGAAGTCCCTCCGTTCTGGTACCATTTCTGATAAATTTCCTTTGCACCCTCACCGATGCCTTGACATCCTTTCCAAAGTGTGGTGCCCAGAACAGAACACAGTACTCTAGCTGAGGCTGAACCAGTGTTTTATAAAGGTTCATCATAACTTATAAAGCCTAGTATCCCCTATGCTTTTTTAACAGCTTTATCTACCTGTTCTGCTACCTTCAAAGATTCACTTATATAAACTCCCAGTCTGCTACTGTCCTCCTCACTATTTACTACTTTTCCAAGCTTAGTATCATCTGCGAACTTGGAAATTGTACTCCCTATACCCAAGTCCCAATCCTGCCACTCAGCACCTGCTAACTGTGCAAGCCAAAGTCTTAACGGCTAAGGTGGTTCTCACTGGACAAGCAGTGGGAAAGCTTTCAAGTCCAGGTCATTTATCTAGATCAAAAAGAGCAGTGGTCCCAATACCAACCCCTGGGGAACACCACTGCCCTCCAGGCAGAAAAATCAACTGTTTACCACCACTCTCCGCTTTCTGTCTCCCAGCCAGTTCTGTATCCATGCTGCCACTGTCCCTTAAAAACCATGGGCTTCTATTTTGCTCTCCCAGTGTCCTGGCCAACAATCTCCTCCAAGTAAAATTAACCAATCACTTCATGGTTGTTTGTGGGACAAACTGGACTCAGCATTCGTCCACAAAACAGACAGTTAATGATCTTTGCAGTATGTCCTGTGAAGTGTTTCAAGAAGGCACTATATCAAATGTAAGGATTTTTTTATGATAACATTTGATGTACTGCCTCATCATATCATTAAATGTCATTAAATGTCTCAAAGCGCTTAACAGGATTTGTCCTTGAAAGTCAGTTTCTCCTGAAAATTAGAGATGGGCCAGTTAGGAGTGAAATCAGGAAGCAGTTTTTCACACAATGGGTAGTGGAAATCTAGAACTGTCTCCCCCAAAAGGCTGTGGATGCTGGATCAATTTAAATTTTCAAGACTGAGGTGGATACATTTTTGTTAGGTCAGGGAATCAAGGAATATGGAGCAAAGGCAGGTAAATGGAGTTGAGTTACAGAGCAGCCATGATATAATAGTGTGGTAAAACACATTTGAGGAGCAAAATGGCTTACTCCTGGTTCCTATGTTCCTTAATTATGGGTTGGGACTTCACGGTTTCAGAAACATGACCAAGTAAAGAGGAAGTCAACAAGAACAATGACTTGCATTTATATAGTGTCCTACACACTGGATAGCATCCTGGAGCAGTTGACAATAGCGGAGTCTGACACTGAGCCAAGGGGAGGGGGCGAGGGGAGGTGTTTGTAAGCACGATTAAAAGGAAGGTCCTTTAGGCAGCATTTGAAAGTGGTGAGGGAGGGACTCACTTTCAATT